TGGTTCCAAGAAGAATAGATTTAGTTTTGATTTTTAACTGTTAAATACATGTATGCATCATCATAGCATGAATATTTCTTCTCAGATTTATTCTGTATCGTATGAAAAAGCAACGCAATTTTGAGAATGCGGAAATGGTGTCTCATAGAACCTAAAATGATTTAAATGCAACATTTCTGATCAAAAGCACATTGGGATTCCCCCCCCCCCCAGCATCACAGAGAGGAAATAAGGTGACACTGACCCCTCCTCCTATTTTTCAAGGTGACTTTTCCAATTTATTTAATTCCGAGTAGAAATGTCTGGAAAAATTCATGTATTCGATGTACTTTATAATCTTAGGAATTCTGCTAGATTTCACCCCAAAAATGCCGCATGAAATCGCAATTCAGGGACCCCAGATTTCAAAATTTTCCGGACCCCGGACCCTCCTAAACGGTCTCGGCGTGAGGTTCACCCCCACCCCGCAAAATTAAGGTTTGGCTACGCCACTGGCTATAGCTGTACGATTATAGCTACAAAGAGTTGAAGTTATTGTTTAAAGTAAAATATAGCTGCAGTTAATAAATTAAAGTTTTACAAAATCTGTCTTAAGACTCGCGCGTTCGCCAAACCTCGACGGCTCATATTTTTCGTTCAGCCTTTTTTCCTGTTTTGCCCCCCCCCCCCCAGTGAAAATTCCTTGAAAAAGGCACTGACTCAATGTCAACACGGAAAATTTCTTTATATTTCTTTGTGCTATATTATAAAATAAATATAAAACATTTTTTCCGTGTTGATATATAGTTTTATCAACACTCGTGGAAATTGGGAAAACTCGAAATTGTGTGAAAACACAATTTCTCGTTTTCCCAATTCCCACTCGTGTTGATATAACTGTATATCACTAACACGGAAAATGTTTTATATTTGTTAAATGTAAAATATCCTTAATGATGTAACTAAGGGTCTTAATCAAAAGCCTTTTGATGGTTTCTATAGTAGGTCATGCTGGATCCATCCCTGCACAGCAAAAATATCTGTGAAACTAAATTACATTGAATTTATACTAGACCTCTAGCCCTAGATAATAAACATGTAAATGTAATAATTAAACTTTGTGTAATTAAATTGGGCGAAAATTAAATTTTAAAAAAAATATTTGAAAATTGCATAATTCCTAGACAGGAAGTTTAAAAGTTTTGAAGGTTAACGACAGAATCAACTACAGAGAAACTTTGCTGTGAAAATTTCTGGTACGTTTGTTCATATTTTACTCGACATTCAAGCGAGCTGTAAGCAAATTCGGTTCTGTTTGTTTACATGGAAATTCGTACAGTTACCTGTAGATCACCATTTAATGCAGACACTATCAAATAGGATAAATTTCTGCAAAGGAATTAATCATCCAGTATATACAGGGTGTCCCAAAAATATCCCCTCTGTTGTTGTTTAATTACTATAAGTTATAGTAATTAACCAACAACAGAGAGTACGTTTTTTTGGGCGCCTTGTATTGCGTGATTTACCAAAACAATCCACTTGTGTTTAAGGTTACAGGACACCTTTTTTGGCGTTTTGCGGAAAATCGCTACTGCGCGCTCAATATCAGTCCGATTTTCATCAAATTTTCACCAAATGTTCTCCAGTGCATGCAAAATATGGTAAAGTTGTAAAATTGACAAACAATAAAATAATGTAAGAATTATTCAGGAAAATCTTAAATCGCGGTACCGTTACGCTTTTGAGTTATGTTCCTGCTGGTTTTAAGTTATATTTATGAAAATATAATTTTTATACAGTAAAATAGTTTTTCTAAAAAATCGTGTTCGGAAATTTTTGTTTATTTCGTCATTCCGCTGATATGGCGATTTCTTTGACGACTGCAATATATTTCTGAATTGTTTTAGTAAATTGCTCTTTATTTTTAAAATATTCAAAATTAAAAAAAAGCCGAACACGATTTTGAAACTGACGCCTTTAGCTATGCCCTGTGAAAATTTGAGAAAAATTGGTTAAAACCCGCGGGAGCATAACTCGTTTGAAAATCAGTAATTACCGTAAAATTTTTCGGGAGAAAATTGAATTTGAATATTACATTTTCAATGTTTTTCTTATTGCAGCGAAATGTATTTTATTAAATAACTCTGCGAGTTTTCAACATTTTCCGTTCAAACTTGGTCAGATAGTAGAACTAGTCTAATGCTTTCATGGAAACCAATAAAAAAAGTTTAGGCAAAATTAACACTCAAAGGTGTTCTGTAACCTTAATTAAACATGATATAACTTTAAAAAGAAGAGTTTTGTGCTGTCAGTTCAGAAAGCCAATCTCATAAGATAGCCACGCCTGTATTTGAAGGGTGACCCATCGTTTTGTTCGAAGCGGAACTCTGCACTTATTATGATACTATTGTTTGTGGAAACAGCACGTACTGATTTATTACTGCAAAGCTTTCGATCCGTAAGCGCGGATCTTCATCAGTGCTAATATGTGACTTGTTCAATTTACACGCCCTTTTTAATAACCAAAGTGTTGTGACCTGTTCGCTCGCGTCATTTGAAATTTATTTAACGGTACATCAACCACGCCATTTCAAACGTAGTGAAGTGATTCTAATTAACGCGCTGGCATCCAAGACAAGAGAAATTCACTTTGCACATCAAAGAGAGCACGCCACGTACTATGTAGTGGCTTTTCCTCCTGATCTATAGTATTGTGCTTCTCCATTTCAATTGACTCTCTCATTTTGCGAGAGAACTTATGACTATCAATCGCCAAAATGGTTGCTTCGTCCCATTTTATACGATGGTCGTAAGTCCAAGTATGTTTAGCCACAGCAGATTTATCTTGCTCGGCTTTCTCGCAATTCGTCTTATGTTCTTTAAGACTGTCCTACTAAGACCTATTGTAGCCTACCTGGTTCGCCAACGTATATGCCCTGGCTAAATATCTCGCTGAGATATTGAAGCCAGTTGTTGGAAAAACAGAACATCATGTAGTAAATTCTAAAGAATTTGTAACAAAAATGGAACAAATTAGATTGGGTAAGAATGACATTCTCGTAAGTTTTGACGTAGTTAGCTTGTTCACTAATGTTCTAGTTGAAGAAGCTTGTAAGATATTACTTTACCTCAAAGAACTAATCTTTCTCCTGAAAATGTATATGATTTATTGAAACTATGTTTGACCACGACATGTTTTCAATGGCGGGAGAAGTTCTATGAACAAACAAACGGCGCTCCAATGGGAAGTCCATTGTCGCCTGTTATTGCTAATTTGTTCATGGAGGAATTTGAAAAGAAGGCCTTGGCTACTGCAACGTTGAAACCTATGGTTTCTGGTTCAGATATGTGCATGGATGATACATTGAGTAGCTGGTCTCATGGACTAGATAATTTACAAAAGTTTCTAGATCACATTAATAGTTTGCATCCTTCTATCAAGTTTACTTTTGAAGGACAGAAGGATGATAAAACTATACCTTTCTTAGATGTTCTGTTATCTATACAAGAAGATGGGTCGCTAGGACATAAGGTTTATAGGAAACCTACACACAGAGTCAGGTATCTGCATTATAATTCATTTCATCCTAGTATTAAAAACTCATCAACCGAGCGAAAACACAATTTGTAAAGTAACATCGACGATGAATTAGAACATTTAAGAAATGTTCTAAAAATGAATTGTTATCCCGGCATTTCATAGATAATGCTATGAAAACACCACAAAGTATACAGTAGAATATTGGCTCTCCTCCGCAGAGGTTATTTATTCTATTTATAATGTTCTTCGGCTCTCTTCGGATAATTCTCGGAGTTAATCGCGATTGGGTGCTGGACAAAACCCTGTCGCGATTAACTCCGAGAACTATCCGAAGAGAGCCGAAGAACATTATAAATAGAATAAATAACCTCTGCGGAGGAGAGAGGAATATTGGATATCAGTCCTCTGCATGTTTGTCTACCTACTTTGGTCCGGCTTCACACAAAATTGAGAGGATTTTGAAGAATGAAGCAGGTATATAAAGGTATACCATTCCAGTGAAAACAAATTGTTTCGAACTCATTGCACACATATGGACAACGTGAATGAATCTCAGAAACTTGGTGTATACCGCATTCCTTGTGAATGTGGTCTGGTTTTCATTCGTGAAACTGTTCGAAATCTCTCAATACGTCTTAAAGTCTTGTTAAAGAACATAAGACGAATTGCGAGAAAGCCGAGCAAGATAAATCTGCTCTGGCTAAACATACTTGCATGGACTTACGACCATCGTATAAAATGGGACGAAGGCGAAGCAACCATTTCGGCGATTGATAGTGGCATAAGTTCTCTCGCAAAATGAAAGAGTCAATTGAAATCGAGAAGCCCAATACTATAGATCAGGAGGGAAAGCCACTACATAGTACGTGGCGTGCTCTCTTTGATGTGCAAAGTTAATTTCTCTTGTCTTGGATACGCGCGCGTTAATTAGAATCACTTCACTACGTTTGAAATGACGTGGTTGATGTGCCGTTTAATTAAATTTCAAATGACGCGAGCCAACAGATCACGATACTTTGGTATATAAAAAGGGCGTGTGGATTGAACAAGTCACATATTAGCACAGAGTAGAGACATACAGAGACGTAACTAGTGTACCCACTTTTTTTGTGCGCATGCTCGGCAAGTTACTAGATGCATGCATCTGATTGGATGACGACCTGATGACGACTCACTTTAAACTTGCTGAGCACGCGCAGTTGATCATTTTTCGCCTGGTCGCCTGAAAAAAAGTGGGTACATGATAACGCAATCTTCCGCAGTGTTTACAACGGTCTGTTACGTCTCT